TGATCACTTGGATAAAAGATATAGGGGAAATTGATGAAGAACAGTGGTTGAGTATGTGGAAATCTGTTAAATATATGAGAGCGGTAGCTTACAAAGAGAATGTTTATAAAATGTTCCACAGATGGCACTGGGCACCCGACAAACTGGCCAAATGCTACAAGGGGTACTCAAACAAATGTTGGAAATGTAAAGTTTCTAAAGGAACCTTCTACCACATGTGGTGGGAGTGCAACAAAACACAAACATTTTGGAAACTAGTAAGGGAGGTGCTCCAAGAAAGTTTGGGTAAAAATTTGGCCCTAAAGCCAGAAATATATCTGTTAAATATGATCCCGAAAGGATATGATAAGCAGGATGCATTTATTATTACCTATGTTATAACTGCAGCTAGATTGTTAATAGACCGACAATGGAAACTAGATAATTTACCAACAAGGGAAGACCTGTTAAATAAAATATTAGAATTAGCCAGAATGGACGATTTAAGTCTAAAGATACAAAACAAAAATGAGACGGTACATAAAAAAAGATGGGACAGAATATATAAATGGATAGAAGACCAGATAGAACTGTAATATAAAAGTTATATTTAGAATAGGTAAAAGAAACAGAAATACAAGACCATCAACTGGTAATGTAAAAATTAAAGGAAAATGACTCTGACATGTAATGTAACACAAATGGATGTAAAATAACTGTGTACTACTTTTTTATAAAATAATAAAACTTTAAACCAAAAAAAAAAAGAAAAGAAAAAAAAGAAAATTACAAGATTCCTTATGCTACACTGTCTGGGTCAAGATGTTATGCTTAAGTATGGTAAGGATCTCCTTACATGAGATATGAAATGCAAGTCAGGGCTGGGAGTTTGCTATGACATGTGGGTACACATGTGAAACTGGCAGTGGAACTAGCAGTCCCCTGCTGCCAGTTTTTGCTGTCAAAAGCAAGGCAGGATGGAAAGGAGGCAGGGCCGGCTCACCCGCTAGGCCAACTAGGTGTTGGCCTAGAGCGGCGGGCCCTGGATGGGGGCGCCAAAGTTCCCCCCAGGTAAGCGCGCCCTGCTGCTGGCTGGCGTGCGCGAGCCCCAGCCCGGCTCCTCGCCCACCTATCTTCTCCCACAACCTCGGCTGGCCCTGCAGGTGCATCCCCAACCAACCCGAAGTCCTGGCCCCGAACGGGTGGCGGGCGAGAGAGGCGCGAAGAGGGGGTGCACTAGGGCAGCCCCGGCCGGCCGCAGGTTTGCGTGCCCTGGCGAAAGCGCCGCCTGCCACAGGCGCAACCAGCCCGGGGAGAAGGGAGTGGGAGTGGCGCAGCCTTCAAAAGGGCCGGGGAGGGAGCCCGCTGGACGCCGGCCAGGCCAGGCGGGCGCTCGGGACCCCCCTCTCTCCCCGCCTCTCATGACGCCGAGGAGGCCCCGAGCAGACCTCGACCTGGCGAGCGAGGGGCTGCCCTCCCCAGTATCCGCCGTCTCCTCCTCCTCCTCCACCCCCCCAGCGAGTGAGAGGCAGAGTGGCGTTAGCTGCGGGCAGAGGGGCTCCCGCCACCAAGATGAGGCCACCGCTCTGCGCCTCGCTGCTGCCGCCCCGGGCCTCGGCCTGGGAGGCGCCCCCCACACATCCAGGCCAGCGGCCACCTCTTCGCCATTGACTACAGTTCACAGAGGAGGAGGAGGAGGCCCGGCGCTGTGCCCACCGCCGCGGCCCTGGGCAGAGAGAGAGGCCTGCTGCCCCTCGAGCATGGTGTGAGTGGCCCGCAGGTTTCCTTGGCGCTCCTCCTCCTCTTCTTCTTCTTCTTCTTCTTCTTCTTCTCCCTCCCGGGGGGGTCTAAGTGCAGGTCTCTGGATATAGGCGTGCTTTTTTAAAAGTCCTAAACCAGCTGGAGCAGGACTCTGAAGAGGCACCCCGCCCCTCTCCAGCATGCCCGGCCCCGCAGAGCCTGGAGCAAGCGAGAGATGAGCCGGGCCGGGCATCCTGCGCTGGCAGCAGCAGCGGCAGACCCCCAGGCGGGTGGAGACACAGATCTCCAGGGTGTGTGTGTGTGGGGAGATCGGTGGGCTTCCTTCCTCCGAGGCCTCGCCCCGAGCCAAAACGGCGCAGCTCACCCGCCCTCCCCCTCCCCCCTGGGGGGAGGTGGCGGCAGCAAAAGGATCTCCAGACCCCACCGGGAGGTTGGCATCTGCACCTGCCTAGGGCGCAGAAGCACCTCGAGCTGGCCCTGAAAGGAGGGAAGGCTGAAACTCCACAGTCAAGTCCTTCCCTCAGCTATTTTGAAGGTAAGTCCCAGTCAGATATGAAATGTGTCAGGTTGGGGAAAACTCCAACCCAACTTGCATTTACGTCTCATGCATTTCCCTAATAAGACCTTTGTTTTTTGGACTTTCAAAGGACTTTGGTTGGAGGGGCAGATTTTTGACTGCCTTTGCAGCCAGGTACATGTAGTCCAAGAACCAATAAGCAAAGAAAAGCAAGAACTTGTCTCCCTGATAAGACATTACCAATTGGAAATCTCTCTTAAATTGGCCACAACTTCTTTTGAAGCGTGTAGTACTATAACCTGGTTTTGAAAGCTTATCCTATCAGAACTGGTGTAGAGGGTTCCTTAGCCAATGGAGAGGGGATTCTTAGCCAATGGGGGGCTAGCCAATTGTAGAAGACTAGGCAAATAATATTTTTAAAATTAATGTAGGTAACAAGGAAGGGTGTGGTGTTTTTCCTACTTCTTGCAGGGAGCCAGATGAAACAGGAGGAAACTAAACATCCATAAACCCCAGCCCATAGCAGGAAGAAGATTCAAAAAAAAAATTTGGCTGGAGGAAGTTGAACATGATAATGTGTGAGCTGGGAATGAAGCCCTTAAAGAAAGTTTAGGTAAAGCTTGGGGGGGGGGGCAGAGAAGATAGGAGTAGTCATAGGGAAAGGAATGGGGGGAGGGAATCTGTCAGAGGGATCTCTAATATTATTAAATGGATCTCTAATATTATTAACTTGTGAATATGTTTGCTCTAAAGTCCTGAGCAGGGCTGTTAATGATGGGATGTTTAGAAGATCATTCATTCGTAGGGTCTCCATAACTCAGAAGTGACTTGACAGCACTTAACATACACACAAAAATCTCTTCAGAATATAATAATTCCACATACTTATTTATATTTGATAGTTTTTTCTTTAGTCAGTTGTCTACTTATTTATACCCTACCCCAGTGGTGGCGAACCTATGGCACGGGTGCCAGAGGTGGCACTCAGAGCCCTCTCTGTGGGCACGCGTGCCATTGCCCCAGCTAGGCCCAGACCATCATTTAAGTGTTGAATTCTCTGCCAAATAATTTTAAGTAAATGAAAGCATTTGGGATTGCTTTCTTTACTTTGTTTGGATCATCTTAAGTTATTGTATGAGTGGTTTTTTCTAAAGTAAAACCTCAGTATTCAGGTTAAATTGCTGTGTTGACACTTTGCGATAAATATGTGGGTTTTGGGTCGCAGCTTGGGCACTCGGTCTCTAAAAGGTTCGCCATCACTGCCCTATCCTTTGGCTTCCATCATTCTCCTCCCTTCCATTTTATCCTCACAACATCTCAGTGGGGTAGGTTAAACTGAGAGTGTGTGATTAGCCTGAGGTCACCGAGCAAGTTTCTGTGGCAGAGTGGGGATTCAGACTGTGGGTGTCTCAGGTCCTAGTCTGGCTCTCCAATCACACAGGCAAACCTAGCAGTTAGTGCTTCAACTGTTTTTCCACTGTATCCAGCCCCTAATGAAGACAAATACTATAGTGATGCTGAGCACACACTGGATTTTCTGTGTACATAGATCACAGGGAATGGTTTCTATTTACCTTCCCCGTTCTTCTGTGACTGGTCCAAAATCACCCACTCAGCTTCTACAGCAAGAACCTGGATCTAGCAGACCTTGCTCTGAAGTACTGACTGCTGTGCCTAGGGCAGCCAACCTCCAGGTGGAGCCTGAATCTTCAGGTATCACCAGGTATCACAACTGAACTCCAGGCAACAGATCTCTACCCCCCAAAAGAAAATAACTGCTTTGGAACGTGGGCTTTATGGTGTTCTGTTCAGCTGAGGCCTCTCCCCTCCCCAAACCGTGGCTTCCATAGACTGTACCAGAAAATCTCCAGGAATCTCCCTACCTCAAACTGCCAACCCTAGTCAGGACTGGCCCCAATGAGTTCCTCACAAAGGCCTGCAAAGGGTTTCCTTCCTTTGGTTGCCTACCATGGCGAAACAGGCTCCAGTTTACAACCTAGCTATTTGCCTCCCACCCTTGTTGCATGGGTGTATCTCACTCCTTAAGTTGGCTGTCACCACTCGTGGAATCATCACTGTATTTTAAGAGGGACAGTGAGACCCCTCTGGCCGAATCTCCCTATTTGGAGACAGAATCCCCAATCTTTGGGGGATCCCTGGAAAGTTGGCAACCCAAGGGTCTAGCCTTTCCTTGCTTCCCTGGGCTATCTGCTCTCTTTGGTACTGTGCAGAGCAGGGGAGTATGTGGTCAGAGCACAACACAGATTATTAGCCCAAATTAAATAATTTATTTAACTATTTACACAGTTATGGAGCACATACACACTCTAGGAGTAAGCACACACTATGAAACAACAGAGCATAAATCAACAGGGGTTAAACACAATCCTCTTTCCCTACACACAATGCTCTCTACCTCTGGAGTTTGTGGGCAGGGAAACTTCCGTTCATTCCACAATCCAGCTTACTGTGGAGTGGCTGAATTTTTGCTGCCTTGGGACAGTCCCTGTTTTCCCACACTTTTTGGCCTTGGGGCAGCTGGGAACTGTAGGCCAGCAGATGAGGAAGCCCCATTCAACCCAGTGAGTAATACCCCTGCAGGCCCTTCTCTGGGATGACAGCTCAATTAAACCTTGTGGGGGAACATTTCAAACAAAGAACCACAGCCATCTTACAAACACAGGTAACTGCATTTCGTGACACCAACCAACAGCCACTGAGGGGAAAGTTAGTCCCACATTGGAGGAAAGCAGGAAAAGCATCTTCACCAAGAGAGAAAGCCAGTAATTCTGACACAGCACAGTGGCTGAAGGGGGAGTGGGCGGGGAAGAGGAGCAGACCCAGCACCCGTCCAATAGCACATGAATACTCTTGAGTGGCGGCTGACAGGCCAATGACTGAGGGAGTGCATGGAATGTTGCCACTCAAAAACAGAATTATTATATAGAGTGATTCCACAAAAGTTCTCTGGCAGCATGGGTAGAGGAAGGTGGCCACATGGGGCCAGGGCAAGGGAAATGGTGCCAACATGACGAGCAACTTCTTGTCCACACAACAATGCAAAGGCACTTGGCCTACAATGTTTCCCAAAAAATCGTACCAAACCAGGTTTGGGAATTATTGCAACAAAGTGAAGGAAAACACATAAAGTGAGTAATAAGGGGACAACATTGTATGAATGCTCCCTTCCAAAAAAATCCTGCCCCAGTTTAGATACCATATAAGAGCAAAATTATCTTGCAGATGCAGTCTGTATGTATGTACAAAGCCTCAAGAACTTCTTTGTAAGCACCAACCAGAGCAGATGGCTTTGTTTTAACACTAGTTTTCTAGTGTTTTCTAACAAATAATAGTTTTCTATTATAACAATAGTTTTCTAACAATATTTAGCCTAACAGAGGCTGCGGTCACATGGAGCATTAGCTACGCTACAGAGACAGATGATAGGTGGATTTTCTGGGTGCAATCACACCGCAACATCTGGGAAGCGTAGAGCTCCCGTGGCGAATCCAAGGCTTCCCGCCAAAGATGCGGAGTAAAAAACTAGTACCTTCGAGGTACTAGTTTTCGGAAACCGTGGGGCAAAGGCTGGCGCCTGATCGCGTTTCTGGTGGTAGTCCATGGCATCCGGCACCTGCCCGTGTCCCGTCGCAAATAGTTCCCCCCAAGTCTCCACAGGATGCGCACAAGCACCCAATGGCGGATGTGCACAAAGAGGAAAGCGAAAGTCCCGTTGCTCCGCAAAATTGTGCATGCCGTTGGTGTGATTGCGCCGCTTCTTTGCCATGCTGCAGGATTGTCATGTGATCGCCACCTCGTCCCTAACCATGGGACCTCGATGGGAAGTGTGATTGGGCGGCCACGTGTTATTTTGCTCCGGGCCAAACTGCCACGCTCCCCCCCCCCCGCATTTTCTGGCCCGTGTGACCAGGACCAGAGTCGTATTCTCTAAGACTAATATATAACCAGTTGATGGAGAGAGAATTCTTTTTCCTGATTGGTGTAAACCCAAACATAAATAAATTCAGTCAGCAGTGGATTAAGTATGTATTGATTGCTACCATAACTAATTCCAAGTCAATTTTCAGCCCAAATAAAGGCAAGGGAAAGTCATAACTTTTATATAGTCAATTTGTAGGCAGTGTTCCACTGGATTGTTTATTGAATTGTGCTAGGTGTTTGTAGGGCATTTGTCATTCACAAGGGTGAGGCTTGATTTAGCAGCAGAAAGTAGCCACAAGTTTTATAGACTGTGGCTTTCAATCAGTGCTACTTCCAGCTAGCTACAATAAAAACTTGTTAGTCTTTAAGGTGTATATAGATTCCTGTTTATTTTTGCACCACTATGAGTATTTGAACAGAGAATGTGCTGGTTCAGCACAGATATCCTCATGCAACCTACACTGCACCAATACAACTGATGTACATGTGTATTTCACATCCCTTTGAATCATAATTACCAGCTGTAGAGTAATGAAGTGCCACAAAAGT